ACCACTGAAGAGGAGGTCCTCGAAGTGGGTGTTTCTGATTGTGTGAATGAAATTCTGCTGGGTAATAAAGAAGATGGGGTTCTCTTGAAGCCCTTTCTCTCTAAGTTTGGTGAGATCCACTACAAGCTAAAGAAGGGAGGCAAGCCAAAGCCCTTTGCTGTGTTGAAGATTGATGGGGTCACCAAAAAGGTCAAGGGAAGCAAAGCAATACCAAGGAGTACCAAGACTCCTGCTCCACACATCAACTAAAGAGCTGAGGAAAGTCAAGCTAAGTGACTCTAAACAAGCGCACTTGGGAGGCAATCCCATGGTATCCTTGTATATAACTTTGCATTTTTATGTTTTTTATGTTTGTGTGGAAGTTTTTGAGTGTCTCTAGTAACCAGGTTCAAGCTGAGGAAGAAGGAACCAAACTTGGGAGAAGGATGAGGTCGAAGAAGGGTCAATCGACCAGTATATCGGTCATGCACGTCGATACGGCTCATATCGAGCATGTATATCGAGCATATCTTGCCTGATACAAGTATGCTAGACATGTATTGATGAGCATATCAGGACGATCCTGATCGATACACCTGTGAGGATTTTTGTATCGATCTGAGTACTGGTATAAGGCAAACCGATACGCTTTAACAAGCAATGTATTGGGGTACAAACAGATTGATATGTCTCAATTGGTATGGATATCGATCACATGTATCAATGTACCAGGTCGGTATGCCAACCATTGACAGTTGACGCCAACCATGGAGTTGCAAAGGAAAAATCTCTTGAAGCAACAGCAACTAAAGAAGAGGAGAAGAAGGGGCTACTTGAAGATTGTGAAGCTGAGAAACAAACTGGGATCTATGATCATTCTCCTTAAAAGCCAGATTTCCCCTTTCCTGGAAGATTTAAGAAGCAGCTTATGGATAAGTACACCACTCTCTATGCCAACCAGAGGAAGCTTAGAGGTCTTGATATTGGGACAGAGCTGAAAGAAGCTATTGCTAAGACTGAGGTATTGAACATCAAGAAGCTTGGAGATCCTGGATGCTTTACTCTCCCTTGTGAACTCAAAGGACAAACTTTCAAGAGTTGTCTTTGTGATCTTGGAGCAAGTATCAATCTTCTCCCATCCTCTACAGCTAATGCACATGGCTACACTCACTTCAAGAGAGTAAATGTGTCTCTAACAATAGCTGATGGCATAGTAAAAGCACCACTTGGAGCTCTTTATGATGTGCCAATGATGATTGAAGGAGTGATCATCCCAACAGATTTTCTGGTCCTAGATGTTGAAGGGAAGATCAAGAACGCCATCATTCTAGGGAGGCCATTTTTAGCTTCAGCTAGCATAGTGTTTGATGCAAAGGAGTGCACAATAGAGCCAAGGTTGACCAAGGAGAAAGTTCTGAAGTTTGACTCCAAGGGGAACAAGCTGGAAGATGAGCAAGCCTTCTCAATGGAGGTGAAGAAATTGAAGAAAGTTGGCGGGTATTGGCCAGAGTTTGATGGCTATGTGGGCGCCAGTTTTGATGGTTGCTGTCTGTCCAGGGTGTTTGCTGATACCACTGAAGAGGAGGTCCTCGAAGTGGGTGTTTCTGATTGTGTGAATGAAATTCTGCTGGGTAATAAAGAAGATGGGGTTCTCTTGAAGCCCTTTCTCTCTAAGTTTGGTGAGATCCACTACAAGCTAAAGAAGGGAGGCAAGCCAAAGCCCTTTGCTGTGTTGAAGATTGATGGGGTCACCAAAAAGGTCAAGGGAAGCAAAGCAATACCAAGGAGTACCAAGACTCCTGCTCCACACATCAACTAAAGAGCTGAGGAAAGTCAAGCTAAGTGACTCTAAACAAGCGCACTTGGGAGGCAATCCCATGGTATCCTTGTATATAACTTTGCATTTTTATGTTTTTTATGTTTGTGTGGAAGTTTTTGAGTGTCTCTAGTAACCAGGTTCAAGCTGAGGAAGAAGGAACCAAACTTGGGAGAAGGATGAGGTCGAAGAAGGGTCAATCGACCAGTATATCGGTCATGCACGTCGATACGGCTCATATCGAGCATGTATATCGAGCATATTTTGCCTGATACAAGTATGCTAGACATGTATTGATGAGCATATCAGGACGATCCTGATCGATACACCTGTGAGGATTTTTGTATCGATCTGAGTACTGGTATAAGGCAAACCGATACGCTTTAACAAGCAATGTATTGGGGTACAAACAGATTGATATGTCTCAATTGGTATGGATATCGATCACATGTATCAATGTACCAGGTCGGTATGCCAACCATTGACAGTTGACGCCAACCATGGAGTTTGCAAAGGAAAAATCTCTTGAAGCAACAGCAACTAAAGAAGAGGAGAAGAAGGGGCTACTTGAAGATTGTGAAGCTGAGAAACAAACTGGGATCTATGATCATTCTCCTTAAAAGCCAGATTTCCCCTTTCCTGGAAGATTTAAGAAGCAGCTTATGGATAAGTACACCACTCTCTATGCCAACCAGAGGAAGCTTAGAGGTCTTGATATTGGGACAGAGCTGAAAGAAGCTATTGCTAAGACTGAGGTATTGAACATCAAGAAGCTTGGAGATCCTGGATGCTTTACTCTCCCTTGTGAACTCAAAGGACAAACTTTCAAGAGTTGTCTTTGTGATCTTGGAGCAAGTATCAATCTTCTCCCATCCTCTACAGCTAATGCACATGGCTACACTCACTTCAAGAGAGTAAATGTGTCTCTAACAATAGCTGATGGCATAGTAAAAGCACCACTTGGAGCTCTTTATGATGTGCCAATGATGATTGAAGGAGTGATCATCCCAACAGATTTTCTGGTCCTAGATGTTGAAGGGAAGATCAAGAACGCCATCATTCTAGGGAGGCCATTTTTAGCTTCAGCTGGCATAGTGTTTGATGCAAAGGAGTGCACAATAGAGCCAAGGTTGACCAAGGAGAAAGTTCTGAAGTTTGACTCCAAGGGGAACAAGCTGGAAGATGAGCAAGCCTTCTCAATGGAGGTGAAGAAATTGAAGAAAGTTGGCGGGTATTGGCCAGAGTTTGATGGCTATGTGGGCGCCAGTTTTGATGGTTGCTGTCTGTCCAGGGTGTTTGCTGATACCACTGAAGAGGAGGTCCTCGAAGTGGGTGTTTCTGATTGTGTGAATGAAATTCTGCTGGGTAATAAAGAAGATGGGGTTCTCTTGAAGCCCTTTCTCTCTAAGTTTGGTGAGATCCACTACAAGCTAAAGAAGGGAGGCAAGCCAAAGCCCTTTGCTGTGTTGAAGATTGATGGGGTCACCAAAAAGGTCAAGGGAAGCAAAGCAATACCAAGGAGTACCAAGACTCCTGCTCCACACATCAACTAAAGAGCTGAGGAAAGTCAAGCTAAGTGACTCTAAACAAGCGCACTTGGGAGGCAATCCCATGGTATCCTTGTATATAACTTTGCATTTTTATGTTTTTTATGTTTGTGTGGAAGTTTTTGAGTGTCTCTAGTAACCAGGTTCAAGCTGAGGAAGAAGGAACCAAACTTGGGAGAAGGATGAGGTCGAAGAAGGGTCAATCGACCAGTATATCGGTCATGCACGTCGATACGGCTCATATCGAGCATGTATATCGAGCATATCTTGCCTGATACAAGTATGCTAGACATGTATTGATGAGCATATCAGGACGATCCTGATCGATACACCTGTGAGGATTTTTGTATCGATTTGAGTACTGGTATAAGGCAAACCGATACGCTTTAACAAGCAATGTATTGGGGTACAAACAGATTGATATGTCTCAATTGGTATGGATATCGATCACATGTATCAATGTACCAGGTCGGTATGACATCAAGAAATGTGTATCTAGCACAATATCGACATAACACACGGATGTGCCTTAACTACGAGGACGAAAGGCAATTAATTGCCCTTTATTAAGGCATATCGGGGTAAATATCGACGTCCCACGTCGATACACTTAAAGTGACGAATGAAAACATGATGTTCAGCATATGTCAAGGTGTATCGATGTGTATGTCGACATGCTAGTCCGATATGGATTTTTTCCAAATCATACCTAGCTACATATCGAGCTACTATCTCGATATTGGACAGCTAAGCATGATGATCAGACTACATATCGACATGGGACGTCGATACAAAAGATGTCAAGCTGTATCGACATGCATACAGGTCGATATCACGATCTGGACAACCGATATCGGCACATAAGGAAGAGATGAGCAGCTTTTGGGAGCATGTAGCCAAGGGCGCTCTCTATTTGGAATTTTTCCGATTGATTTCCATTATTTCATTTTTGAAATGGTTTATGTCTATTTGAATCTTTTCATCCTTATAAAGGGATTTCAAACACAAATTTGAGATACAGAAGTAACCAATTCGAATTCTAACAATCTGCTTTTGATACAAGACAAAATATTTCAAAAAATTCTTGGTATGGAAGTTGATACCATTGAATCTATTTTTATAATTATATTTTGGATACATTAGATTTCCAGATGCAATTTGCAAAAAAAAAAAATACAGCTACATACAAATCTTTTCAGGAAAAGATCAAATATAAAATTAGACAATAACAAATCTTCTGATCGATTACTCCTCTGAAAGCATCATCAAACTCACTTTTACTCTATGGCATTTCTAATGTTAAAATTTGTTATCCAGTTTTTTGTATACTGTCTTTGTAATCACTATTTGTAATCATTCTTTAAAAAATCATTTGTTTGTGGAAAAAAAAAACTGAGATGATTCTTAGATTACCATACTCTTAGATTTATCTATCTTACCAAATTAGCATATAACAGAAAAAAAAAAGCATGAGAGAAAAACTCATGAATTTATACATAAGATAACTCTCAAACCAATGAGAAGTTCCTGAGCAATTACTAACTCCAGTACATGATATCACAAACGGACCATACTGTAGTAAATTCGCAAATGGCAAAACTGAAAATCTTAAATCAACTAAAGCAACAGATCATGGCAAGAGTAAAACAAGGCGAAATCTAATCGAACAAGCCAAAACCAAGATCTCCATCACTCTCTTCTGCTGGCTCATCCTACAAAACAATTAAACAAAATGAGACCCAAAAACCCAAAACTAATCACTAGAAAAAAAACATAAAACCGTCAATAAAATGCTTTTTTCTTCTTAATTTTGTACCTTCTTCTCTTCCTTGGCAGGAGCAGCAGCTGCGGCACCACCAGCAGCAGCGGGTGCAGCAGCAGACACTGGTGCACCGCCTACACCGCCACCAGCACCAACATTCATGATGAGGTCAGTGACGTTACGCTTCTCTGTCATCTTGGCGAATAGCATTGGCCAGTAAGACTCAATCTCAACACCAGCAGCTTTGACCAAAGTCGCAATCTTGTCAGACTATTGACAATGTGGTTAAGCATATAAGCAAAAAGTAAAACAAACTAGTCGACAGTTAGACACAAACACTAATCGAACAAACATATTAACTAACAGAGAAAAGATGTTTCTTATATTCATGACAGAGACGCCAAAAAACTTTAACACTAAACCAACAACTTATAGTCACTATTAACATTGCAGTAAAGCTCTAGCCACGAATTTGTATTCATTTAGTCAAATCAAGCTTCGAAGATGAAAACGATACAAAAGAACTACATGAAAATGAATAGCTACTACATGAGATTTAAAAATGAACGCAGATTTAAGGATACAGTAATGGCAATGCCCTCGTCTTCAAGGATCATCACAGCGTAGCTGCAAGCAAGTTCTCCGACGGTCGACATTGTCTCTGCAACAAAACAATAAACAACAGTTTTAAATCTCAACAACGACAACAAATATCGACGGAATATAAAGCTAACTAGAAAATTTGCGAAATCTGACGTGAAAAACTATCGTACGACCACAATTTACCAGATGATCAATGAGCAATCAGTAATGAAAATCCTTTTCAGAGTCAGAAATGATGAAGAAGTACCTCAGCTGCAATGGGAAGCCTCGGCAGATTTCTTTGGTGGCGCAACTTGGAAGACAGATTAGGGTATGAAAGGCAGAGAACGGGGAAAATCAAAGTTATATATAAAGCTAATCTCCAAAACCTTTGGGCTAGGGACTTCTTATTAGGCCCATTTGAAATAGTTTATTGACTTCTCAAAGATTGGGTTTTCTCTATAATATTTCTTGCATTCGTCTCTAAACTCTTTTTAAAATTTACAAGCTATAGTCCCTAACTATATAGTCCCTATTTATAAATTGTTAATCAATGTGAAGTTTATTAAAAGATTTTTATTGATAATATTTTAATCGATATCTCATTAAAAAAATAATTATTAAACAAAAAATTTAAGATATTCTTAAGAATTTTTTGTGTGGGTTAAATTTATTAAATCTTATATAATTACAATAGCTCTGTGCAATTGCATAATTGCATTTCAAATGTGATTATGCAAGTATTTTGCTAATTAATTTTTTTGCAGAAAATTCAAGATTTGTATAATTACGTTTTTATTTAAAAAAATACAAAGAAATTTTCGTTAAATGGAAAAATATGTTTCAAGTACAATACATTTCATCCTTCCTTTTATTTTGTTCTATTTTATATCCTTTTTGCTTTGTTTTTTTTTATACAGTCTTGACCATACAAATACTCGAATTCTAATGTTTATGCATATAAAATATAGTAAAATGTTCAAATAAGCATCTACTTATGATAGCAAAAGTGGGTAAAATATGAGTGTTATTAAAACATGTGTCTAGATACAAAAGCAGAAGCACTACTCTTGTTCTTTTGACACCAAAAGAGGTTTACCAATATCAGCTGCTACTGAAACCATAGGAGAAACAACAAGCTTTGTGAGACCCGTTAAACACTTACTACTAAAAAGAGAGAGAGAGACATTGAGAAAAATATAGAAAGAGGCTTGCGAGAGAAAACCCGTGAGGAAACACAAATTCTTTTTATAGGTCTTATGAGATTGAGAGAGCTTTGTTATTAAAGCAGTCAATGATCGTACTACTGTATAGAGAGGCTCTTTTAACTCTAATGATATTGACCATGTTCTGTTTATTTGTTGCAGGATTTAGATAATGTCTTTCTAGAGGATACATTGTAATGTATTACCACTAATCAGTGGGAATGAGTATCAGATTGAATTTGTACCAGGAGTTTCTATTTCTAACATACCAGCCAGTAGAATGAAACCCGAGGAATCAAAGGAGCTGCGAGGCAAGTTAGTAAACTAATGGAGAAATGGTACATCCAAGAGAGCATGCGTCCAATTGTTGTTCTTATTTTGCTAGTTTCTGAGAAGGATGAGACTTGAAGGATGTACAATGATTGCCAAACCATCAAAAATATCAAGGTAAAAGATCAACATTCCAATACTCTATTGGATGGTATGCTTGATAAGTTCCATGGTTCATGTTTATTTTCTAAGATTGACCTTAAGAATGGTTATCATAGAACTTGAATGAAAAAGTGATGAGTGAAAACTGTTTTTAAACCAAAATATGGTTTACATGAATGGTTAGTAATGGTTTTTTGACTTAAATGATGCACCTAGTACTTTGCTAAAATTGTTGAATCATGTTTCGAGAAAATTCAATTTTTTTAGATCATTCATTAGAATTGTTGTTGTTGTCTATCTTGATGACATTCTGATATATAACAAGAACTCAGATGAACATGCTGAATATTTGAAACTTGTTTTTGATGTTCTAAGGAAAGGAAAGTGGTTTGCTAGTATGAAAAGACTTATATGTTGCTTATATAATTTTGTGTTTCTAGTCGTTGATGAAAGTGCACAGGATAAAGAGGTTGAGGATACAAAAGTTCAAACACCAAAAGCGTGGCTACACTTGAGGTTTATGGATTTTGTTGTTCATTGTGACTATGAATGGTAGGAGCCTAGAGGAATAGACCAGCACCAAAAGCAAGCAAGTGAAAGGCAATGCAAAGTGATTCAAGGGCAAGCATCTACAAATTAGAAGTTTTCCGAGATGAACACTCGCTTAGACTCCTCTCTCACTGATTTCTCTACTCAGATTACAAACTTGAATAATAAGATCAAGCAGCTAGAGAAGGGAAAGGCGAGTACAATCGGTCAGAATAGCTTACCGGGCAAGTGTGAGCAGAATCCCAAGGAATACGCCAATGCCATTACACTAAGGAGTGGGAAAGAGCTTGCACCTACGGTTACTCAGCTGATGATGAGAACAACGAGGACGTTGTAATTCAAGAGGGGGAGGGTAAGTTTTCAGCTGATGATGAGATCAACTTTGACAATGTTTGGATTTAAGGGCCAAGGAGAGGTGAGAAAGCGGTTGTAGAGAAGAAAGTGGAGCAATCTGCTAAGGAGAAGGATGCTTATGTGCCTCCACCGTATGTACCCAAGCTACCTTTTCCTGGCTGCTTCAAGAAGCAACTCATAGAGAAGCATAGAATCTTGTTTGAGAAGCATCTTAAGGACGTAGAGATCAAGTTACCTCTCGTGGACTACCTTGCAATGATGCCTAAATGCGCCAAATTCTTCAAAGATACGCTTGTAAAGAAGAATAAGGAAAGCAAGTAGGTGTTAGTACTTAGTAAAGAATGCAGCACCGTGATACACAAGGAGATAGTCCCCAAGAAGTTGGGAGATCCTGGAAGCTTCACTATACCTTGCGCTTTAGGTCCTTTGGAGTTCAAGAGTTGTCTTTGCGATCTCAGAGCTAGTATAAATCTGATGCCTCATTCCGTAGCAAAGAAACTTGGCTTTACCCGGTTCAAAGACTGTAGAATCTCGTTGGTACTAGCTGACAGGAGTGTGAGGTTACCTGTGGGTTTGCTTGAGGACTTGCTAGTGAGAATCGGCGGTGTAAACGTGCCTACAGACTTCGCCGTGTTGGAAATGGATGAAGAACCTAAGGATCCACTCATTCTCGGTAGACCGTTCTTAGCCACCGCCGGAGCCATCATAGACGTCAAGAATGGGAAGATAGCTCTGCACTTGGGTAAAGATATAAGGCTGGACTTTTATATCAACGAGGTTTTGAAGAAACCTACGATAGAAGGGCAAGCTTTCTACATTGAGACGTTGGACGCTTTAGCGGATGAGTTGCTAGAAGAGTTGGCTCAGGAGGATCATTTGAAGCTGGCATTGACTAAGGAGCCACGAGAGTTCGGTTACTTGGATCAAAGGACTCAGGAATACGTTAACCTGCTTGATTCAAGGAAAGTTGTGCTTAAAGATGAAAGCGCTTGCCTAGAGATCGACTCTGAGATCGATGACATTACTCGATCCAGGAGTCAAATCGACAAGACAATCGAGAACACAACTCGATCCGGTGCAACAATCGACAGTCAGATCGAGGAGGGTGATCGATCCAGGAATTTAATCGAGTCCGAGATCGAGAGATGCCTTCCGATCAGTTCAGGGTCCAATCCGGAGATCGACCCAGCGTCTCGATCTCTCACTCGAACTACATTAAATCGAGTGAGTGAATCGAGTGAAACGGCTCGATCTAGACGACATCGAGAGCAAGATCGACTGGATGACTCGATTCCAGAGGGGACAACGGTTCAAGAAAGCAGCCTCAAGGGTCATGTCTCGGGTTCTAAGGAGGGTTTCAAGGAGGAAAACAACAGCAACAGCCACGAGGATGATTGGAGCGAGCTGCTAGCCCCAAAGGTGGACCTTAAGGAGCTCTCAAAAGGGTTAAGGTAAGCTTTCTTAGGGCTTAACGAAACCTATCCTGTGATTGTGAATGAAAACTAAGTGATGATGAGTTGCACTCGCTCTTAACCGAGTTGAGAAAGTATAGGAAGGCCATTGGGTACTCTTTAAGTGACATCAAGGGCCTTTCACCAATGCTTTGCACTCATAGGATTCACTTGGATAATGAGAACGCCTCTTCTATAGAACATCAAAGGCGTTTGAATCCTAATTTGAAAGAGGTTGTTAAGAAAGAGATTCTTAAGCTATTAGAAGCTGACGTGATCTATCCCATAAGTGTTAGCACGTGGGTTTCTCCCGTATATGTGGTGCCTAAGAAGGGAGGGATCACGGTCATTAAGAATGACAAAGATGATCTTATACCTACTAGGACTATTACTGGACACCGTATGTGGATTTTTCCAAATACCAATCCATCCAAATGATCAGGAGAAGACGACCTTTACATGCCCTTATGGCACCTTCGCGTATCGAATGATGCCATTCGGGTTGTGTAACGCACCGGCTACATTTCAGCGGTGTATGATGTCGATCTTCTCCGATCTAATAAAAGAGATGGTAGAGGTGTTTATGGATGACTTTTCGGTCTATGGTGCGTCCTTTTCTGCGTGTTTGTTGAATCTTTGCAAGGTACTAAAGCGTTGTGAGGAGATAAACTTGGTGCTTAACTGGGAGAAATGCCACTTCATGGTAAAGGAAGGGATCGTGCTTGGCCATATGATATCAGAGAAGGGCATTGAGGTTGATAAGGCTAAGGTTGAGGTCATGATGAGTCTTGAGCCGCTGGCTAATGTCAAAGGAGTAAGGAGTTTCTTGGGACATGCTGGCTTCTACAGCCGCTTCATCAAGGATTTTTCTAAGATTGCACGCCCTCTTACATGACTGTTGTCAAAGGAAGCTGATTTTGTCTTTGATGAGGAGTGTTTGCAAGCTTTCGTGACTATCAAGGAAGATCTGCGCCTATAGTGCAAGCACCGGACTGGACTCTATCGTTCGAGATTATGTGCGATGCTAGTGACTATGCCGTGGGAGCCATTCTAGGTCAAAGGAAAGATAAGAAGCTGCACGTG